TAGAGTTCTTGCAGAGTCCTGGCTGAGTCCTGGGAGAGGAACGGGCATTGTTTGACTGGGATTGCCTGTAATTGAGAGGAAGTGGAAGGGGCATTGTTTTGCCTGTGATTGAGTGCCTGGGTGAATTTGAATTTGAATAGCTGCTGCCTGACCTCTGCTGGGGGAGGCCTCTATTTAAGGAAGCACCTTGCCAGAGGCAGAGGAGACCAGCTGAGCTCTGAGCAGGAGCAGGAGAGAGAGCTGTGAGAGAGGTGAGTGGGTTTCTTTTACTTGCTTTCAGCTGAGAGAATTCAGCTAAGGATATTTTGTGGGAAAACTGTGTTTAGCAGTGTGTGGAAGCACTTAGAGTTCTTGCAGAGTCCTGGCTGATTGAGTGTGGGAGAGGAACGGGCATTGTTTGACTGGGATTGCCTGTAATTGAGAGGAAGTGGAAGGGGCATTGTTTTGCCTGTGATTGAGTGCCTGGGTGAATTTGAATTTGAATAGCTGCTGCCTGACCTCTGCTGGGGGAGGCCTCTATTTAAGGAAGCACCTTGCCAGAGGCACGAGCCTCTGGCACGAGCCGAAGGGCGAGCTAAAGGGCTCTTTGCCCGTGGCTCTTAGACTAGGGGCTCTGTAAGAAGCCCAAAAAGAGCCAGAAAGACAAGGCCCTAGGCTCTTTGTCTTTCCCGTAAAATAATTTGACTTTGATAACAAAAACCACATAAATACCAAGGGTTTAAAAGGGGGATTATATTTATTTATTTTAAAAGAATTATGAAGCCAGAATGCCAGCAGGGGGTTGGGGGCTATCCAGTGTTTTGCACGGAGTGTCACATGTATGACTATCTGCCCACTGGGCAGAAGTCTTGGGTGTGTCCTCGGTGCAAGGAGCTCCTGGTTCTCAGGGAACGTGTGTGCTCCCTTGAGGCCAAGGTGGCTGACCTGGAGAAGCAGAGACAGTCAGCTAGGCACACAGAAAAGACTCTCGGGGACTTGTTAGCTTCGTCCCACTCTGGATCTGGCAGCCCCGCTGCTGTCAGGGAGCATGAGGGTCTAGGGGAAACAGGGCACCATGCTGAGGATAAGGGGAATGTGCCCTCAGAAGGGACCTCTTCCCCAGCTGGTGAGCGGCTCTCCTTTTGCACCAAGGAACCATCCCTGAGCAGGGTGGGAGGGGGGCTCTTGGTAGTGGGTGATTCGATCCTTAGGCAGGTAGACAGCTGGGTGGCGAACCCGCGTACTGACCGTATGGTGACTTGCCTGCCTGGTGCGAAGGTAGCGGACATTACGCGTGTTTTAGATAGGCTGGTAGATAGTGCTGGGGAGGAGCCAGTGGTCGTGGTGCATGTCGGCACCAACGATGTGGGGAAATGCAGTCGTGAGGTCCTGGAGGAGAAATTTAGGCTGCTGGGCAGGAAACTTAGGTCCAGGACCTCCAAGGTAGCCTTCTCAGAAGTGTTACCTGTTCCACGCGCAGGGCCGGAGAGACAGGCAGAGATCAGGAGTCTCAATGCGTGGATGAGACGATGGTGTAGGGGGGAAGGGTTCAGGTTTGTTAGGCACTGGGATACTTTTTGGAACAAGAGGGAGCTGTACAGGCGAGACGGTCTCCACTTGTCCCGAGAAGGAACCAGGCTGCTGGCACTTAAAATCAAAAAGGTGGCAGAGCAGCTTTTAAACTGAATATTGGGGGAAAGCCGACAGGAGATGAAAAGTCTCTGGTTCGGGTTGGCTCATCTGAGAGAGGTGAGGGGGTACCGGTTGCTTTTCTACAGGGAGGTGGATTGAAATTGTCCACAGAGGCCATGGCTGGTGACATGGACTGCCGGACAACGACTCGAGATAGCAAGAGGAAGGATGCAGGCTTAACTTGTAAGGGAAATTACAGCTGTTTCTATACAAATGCTAGAAGTGTCCGAGGTAAAATCGGGGAGTTGGAGTGCTTGGTGTCGGAGGGAAAAATAGACATTGTGGGTATTTCTGAAACTTGGTGGGATGAGGAAAATCAGTGGGACACAGTGATTCCCGGTTATATATTATATCGGAAGGATAGGGGGGGAAGGGTTGGAGGTGGGGTAGCTCTGTATGTCAGAGAGGGTATAAAGTCTAGAAAGATTGAGAGGCTAAGTGAATTGGATTCGCTTCTGGAAGTTCTATGGGTTGAAATAGGGGGGCCAAAAGGAAACTTAACACTGGGAGTTTGTTATCGCCCACCAGATCAAAAGATAGAGGAGGATTATAAAATGATGAATGCCTTAAAGATAGCAACTAGACAAAAACACTGTGTAATAATAGGTGATTTTAACTACCCACACATTGATTGGGTCAATATGTGTTCTAGTCGGGAAAAAGAGATTGAGTTTCTAGACACTCTAAATGACTGTGCTATGGAGCAGATGGTCACGGAACCTACCAGGGGAGAGGCGATCCTTGATTTGGTCCTAAGTAACACTCAAGACCTGGTGAGAGATGTAAAAGTGATTGCACCGCTTGGAAACAGTGATCATAATGTTGTTGAGTTCATCATTTGTACAAATAGAGAATTGGCCAAAAAGACTCACACAACCATTTTTAACTTTAAAAGGGGTAATTTCTCTGATATGAGGGGACACGTGGGGAGGAAACTGAAAGGAAAAGTAGAAAGGGTCAAAACAATTGGGGAAGCTTGGGATCTATTTAAAACTACGATCCTAGAAGCTCAAAAAATATATATTCCGCAGGTTAGGAAAGGCACAAACAGGTATAGGAAAAAGCCTGCATGGTTAACAAACAGAGTAATGGAGGCTGTAAAAAGTAAAAAGAATTCCTTTAAGCAGTGGAAAGCTAGTCACAGTGAGGCTGATAAAACGGAACACAGGCTATGGCAAATAAAATGCAAGTCTGAGGTCAGGCAGGCAAAAAGGGAATATGAGGAGCATATAGCAAAAAACGTAAAAACCAACAATAAAACTTTCTTCAAATACATTAGAAACAGGAAACCAGCCAGGGAGGCAGTGGGGCCCTTGGACGACCAAGGGGTAAAAGGAGTATTGAAGGATGATAGGGAAATGGCTGAGAAGCTAAATGCATTTTTTGCCTCCGTCTTCACTGTGGAAGATGAGAAGTGCTTGCCCACTCCAGAACCACTGATTTCAGGAGGGGTGTTGGAAGACCTGAGTCAGATTGAGGTGATGAGAGAGGAGGTCCTAAAACTGATAGACAACTTAAAAACTGAAAAATCACCAGGCCCAGATGGCATACATCCGAGAGTTCTGAAAGAACTCAAATGTGAACTTGTAGATCTCCTGACAAAGATATGTAATCTTTCCTTAAAATCTGCCTCCATTCCTGAGGATTGGAAGGTAGCTAATGTCACTCCCATCTTTAAAAAGGGTTCCAGAGGAGATCCGGGAAATTACAGGCCAGTCAGTCTGACGTCGATACCGGGTAAATTGGTGGAAACCATTATTAAGGAAAGAATTAGTAGGCACATAGATGAACAAAACCTATTGAGGCAGACTCAGCACGGTTTCTGTAAGGGAAGATCTTGTCTCACTAACCTGTTAGTGTTCTTTGAGGGGGTGAACAAACATGTGGACAAGGGGGATCCAATAGATATTATTTACCTTGACTTCCAGAAAGCTTTTGATAAAGTTCCTCATCAAAGGCTCCTAAGTAAGCTCAAAAATCATGGGATAGAAGGACAAGTCCTTTTATGGATCAAAAACTGGCTAGTTCATAGAAAACAGAGAGTGAGTGTAGGTGGGCAATTTTCTCAGTGGAGGGTGGTAAGCAGTGGGGTACCGCAGGGATCAGTACTTGGTCCACTGCTTTTTAACTTGTTCATTAATGATTTGGAGATGGGAGTAAGCAGTGAAGTGGCTAAATTTGCGGATGATACAAAGTTGTTCAGGGTGGTGAAAACCAGTGAGGATTGTGAGGCACTCCAAGGGGATCTGTCAAGGATGGGCGAGTGGGCGTCAACATGGCAAATGGGGTTCAATGTGGCCAAGTGCAAGGTGATGCACATTGGAGCCAAAAATCCTAAATATAAATACACATTGATGGGGTCTGAACTGGCAGAGACTGAGCAAGAGAGAGATCTTGGAGTTGTAGTGGATAACTCACTGAAAATGTCGAGACAGTGTGTGACTGCAATAAAGAAGGCCAATGCTATGCTGGGGATTATTAGGAAGGGTATTGAAAACAGATCAGCCAATATAATAATGCCCCTATATAAATCAATGGTGAGACCTCATTTGGAATACTGTGTGCAGTTCTGGTCACCACACCTTAAAAAGGATATTATAGCTTTGGAAAAAGTGCAGAAAAGGGCAACTCGAATGATAAAAGGGTTGGAACACTTTCCCTATGAGGAAAGGTTAAAGCGCTTAGGGCTCTTTAGCTTGGAGAAAAGACGACTGAGGGGTGACATGATCGAGGTTTATAAGATTATGCATGGGAAAGAGCAGGTAGAGAAAGAGGTACTTTTCTCCCTTTCTCACAATACAAGAACTCGTGGGCACTCCATGAAACTGCAGAGCGGTCGGGTTAGAATGGATAAAAGGAAGTACTTCTTCACCCAAAGAGTGATTAACACTTGGAATTCACTGCCACAGGAAGTGGTGGGTGCTACAAGCATGGATGGCTTCAAAAGGGAATTAGATAAGCATATGGAGCAGAGGTCCATCAGTGGCTATTAGCCACAAGGTATAGCTAGGGGCTCTGGGGCAAGTGATGCTCTGTCTTCTTGGTGCTTGGGGGGGTCAACAGTGGGAGGGCTTCTAATGTCCTGGCCCCACTGCTGGACCTCCTGATGGCACTGGTATTTCTGGCCACTGTGTGACACAGAGTGTTGGACTGGATGGGCCTTTGGCCTGATCCAACATTGGCGTCTCTTATGTTCTTATGTTCTATCTTTTCTTACCCTCATAAGTTTACCTCTTCCCCATTTACTGCTATTCAGAAACTTGGCAGTTTTAGCAGAAGCAAGCAGTACACGTCCTAATGAAAAAGCAATTTAGATGAAAATGACAGGCTTACGACATTCCAGGAAAACCTTTCCACATATTAGCCACAATGTTGACAATGGTGCCGCCATGATCCTGCATCCATGCATTGTACACTGTAGAGAAATAAAGAAAAGCTGGCTGTTGTTGTTCTACACTGTCAGATCGTGTGCAATAGTTAAGTTAACCAGTTTAGAAGAAACAAAATTTAGTACTGACTCAGCCATCAATTTTGTCAAGGAAACAATCCTGTTAATATGTTCACAGATTTCCTCTATAAATATGGACTCACAAGCAGCAACAGCATTCAATCAGTACATGAGCCACAGGACCACCATTGACTTGTACAGTTTAGGACTGTATCTTCGCACCAGTTGAATAACATGGAGGATATCAATCTACCTTCATGCTTCCATCTGAGTTCCATTAGTTTCAAAGAACTCTAGTGGTCTACTGCAGCTAGATAAAATCTCAAGGCCCTAAGCCTGACGGACCTAAGCAAGGAACAAGAGAACCCAATTCCTTTATCCTTTCTGAAAAGTCTAGAAGCAATATAAGAACAAATTAATGGTTTTCTCCAGGTTATTCCTCTCTACCCAATAACAGTTTGGTCCTCAGCTTGAATTAGCTCAGGTAACAGCATCCCATTACTCCTAGCACTGTCGACACACAATGCAGTTAATTCATGTCTGCTACAACGTATGTCCAGCTGAGGAACACTGCTCTTCTTGTCTTAATTGTGATTACTCAATGGAAGGAACACCTTTCCTGAAGACTCCTTTAGAATTTATGAACCCATTTCCATTGGGCTGCCAGTGGTCAAAGAACATCAAGCAGCAATCCTGAGGGGGCGGGGAGGGAATTAAGCAGACTAACTTTTTTAACAGCTTGGACTGTTATCCATCATATGCCAACATTTGTTGCTATTTTCTCAATATAATAGTCTAGATTCGTATGAAGATTCATCTGCCAGCAGATGAGGCAAAAGTATTCCTCCCACTTCCACTGCAGAACACCACACTGTCCTCAGTGCTTTTTCTGGGGATCCTTTTTGGGGGGCTCAGTGGGCTACAAAGTGAGAGAGGAATCATAGAATCACGAAGATGGAAGGGGCCATACAGGCCATCTAGTCCAGCCCCTGCTCAATGTAGGATCAGCCTAGAGCATCCCTGACAAGTGTTTGTCCAGCCACTGCTTAAAGACTGCCAGTAAGGGGGAGCTCACCACCTCCCTAAGCAGCTGATTCCACTGTTGCACAACTCTGACTGTAAAGAAGTTTTTCCTAATATCCAGCCGGTACCTTCCCGCCCTTAATTTAAACCCAGTATCGCAAGTCCTATCCTCTGCTGCCATCAGAAGCAGCTCCCTGCCCTCCTCTGACAGCCCTTCAAATACTTAAATACTCAAAGAGAGCAATACTTAAAGAGAGCAATCCTGTCCCCCCTCAACCTCCTCTTCTCCTGACTAAACATTCCCAAGTCCCTCAGCCTTTCCTCATGCGGCTTGGTCTCCAGGTCTAGGGAGTGGCATTTTTGTTCCTCTTCCTTTGCTCACAGTACTACAGCTTTAAGGCAGATTTTCTTTTTTATAAACAATTATTAGAATAGGCTTGTTTACGGTGGTCCATCAGACAGCCTTTGTGACTAAGAGCTGATATTTGTTACTATGTTTTCTTGAACAGCCAGGTAGAAGCGGCTGATGGGCTCATGGTAAGCCTTTAAAAGGTTCCCCAAGTTCTCTGAATTTACAATTATGATGTATGCTTCTAATGGAAGCAATAAAGATAGCCTGACAATGAAGAACCTGAGAGCTAGCAGCAGAGGAAACAGACAGGTTTTGGCTTAGTTGCCAACATTTCCCTCTACATCCAGCCTCACCTGCTTTACAACAATAGAAGGTTCCAGTCAGGTTGGTTTCAATCACGGCATGCCACCCTTTTGAACTGATTGCTTCTGCTGGACTAGGGAACTGGCCCCCTCCATTATTTACTAAGAAATCTATCCTACCATGAAGATCCAATGTCGACTTCACCAGTGCATCTACCTACAACAATAAAGAAGACAAGTTGGCAAGTCTGCATGTGGTAGCTTTTAAGACTTTTCATTTCCATCTGCCAGCATGCCATTACAGGTCTGACCAAAACAAAAGTGTCAATAAGACATTATATATAAGTGATTACTTTTAAACAAGCCCCCCCAAATGAACATTTATTTTTATTTTTATTATTACTTTGATGTGTTTTACATATAAATCAGAACTAAAGAGAAACCATAACACCATGGTTAAAGGTGCCATGTCCATTGAAAAACCCAGAAAAGGGAATCTTGCTACTTTTGCATTGGGGGGGGGGGAGGAAGCAGTTTTATTGGCAAGAGATGCAGTGTGCCAACCAAATTCTGCACGTAGAAACTCACTAACAGCTAAAATTTACCTTAGGATGCTTTGGTTTCTATTCAGAAGAAGTATGATAAATGTATATAACTCTGTGAAGACTTAAAATATTATTCTCCTCAATAGAAAGATTTCATTACAGAGATATTAGAACAACTGTAGCCTCTAGTTCTGGAAGTAGCTAAGAAGGTTCCAGTACGCACAATAAAAGAACATTCACAGTATTCCACAGATATTATTTATTATTATTTATTAAATGTATATGCTGCCTTTCCATGTACCTACAGTCCTCAATGTTGGTTCTACAATAACATTTATGTCATCGCCAAATATCAAAAGCCAGGAAAATGCTATAGCTCATAGAATTGTGCAACATTTATGACATGCAACTATATAAGAAAGACAATATCACTAAATAGAAGATTCAAATGTATAACAGGTCAGTACAGGTAAATAACAGGTAAGTACAAACAGGTAGAATTCTAGCATTGTACAATTTCAAAACACTCATCAAAGTGATCTTGTCGGGCACTAGTCAAACACAGCAATTGCTTCCCAATGCTAGAATTCTACAAGATTTTTGATTTGTAAATCAAATTATATTTCTACATCATTCAAAGAAAGACTATGACAACAGTTTGTGCCAAGAATATTTACTTCTGAGGAAGTTGAATTCATGAAACAAAGAGAGGAATCCGGTGCCTTCGTTATTTGGCTATGTTTTTTGGCTACCTATTTGTCCCTGACTTTTTTCTGTCCTGATTATTGACTGTATATGATGGGAGGTCTCCTTTTTTGTATTGCTAAATATCAAGCCATGAGAAGAAAATAAAGGAGACTAAAAAGCAAAACTCAAACAACAAAACAAACACACACCCCTTTAGGATGCCAGCTTTGCTAGAGATGGAAAGGAATGTTAGACTTGAGATGAATGTCCAATCTCAAAAACCTTTGAGGAAGCAGGTTGCTCAATTTCACTGGACAGCCTGTCTCATGGAAGAAACATTCCTAGCATTCACAGAGGTTTCCTATCATAAGCAAGCCTACTGTTATCCATCCTTTTAAAAGCGTTCACACTTTTATGGCAGCATTTAGGTCCTTGGTAAACTACTTTCACGCTCCTCATAGAGCAATGAAGGCAGGCTTGGTTTCAGTTCTTAGCCTTTGCACCTGTGATATGTGGTTCAAACTTCTCCCATCTTGGATGCTTTTCCACAAATACTTTTGAATTGCTATTAAATCAGGGAAGTAGAATCAGCAGTGTTGTAGCAGGGACCTGACTGGTGCCAAAGTGGTTTTATGTCTCCAGATTGTTGGATTAGCACAACTGAAAATGGCATGGGCTTTCTGTGTAACAATGCATTTTATGAATGTATTTTAATGATGAGAACCCCTTGCCACAGTTGTGCACAATAACCCTTGTATCAACTGCCTTTCTCCTTTCCTGTATCTGCAGTAATGGTTTTCTCCAGGTTCTCATATCCCCTGCCAAGAAGACAAAGTAATATCTAGTTTTTCTATTCAACTGGAACAAATAGTGGAAACATTCTATTTCATCTCCCCGGCAATCAGCCACCCCAATCGCTGAGGATCCTGCATATCTGCAGGAGATATAGCTGCTAAGGGATGTTGCCCTGCAAGGCGCCTATAGCGCACTTATGGACATTGTTCATAAGTAATAAAACTTGGACTGCGCCAATAGTGTGCAGAAGGGACTGAACTGTGTGGTGACCCAATAGTGATGCCAATTACAGACACACACCAGAAGAAGGAAGCCTTCCTGTGCGATGATGTGCCTATGGTTCCAGAGGTTACCTACCCTCTTACATGCTGTAAGATGGACCAGCTCCCTAGCCACATGAAGCACTGAATGCCAGACAGATGCCATGCCAAGGCAGAAGACCTAAAACAAAGGATTCAAACTCCATGAGGAGTTTCCTTCTTTACACGCAGACAACATTCTCTCCCCCACCCAGCCTCACCTCGCTGAAGCTGCAGCCATAAGACAATCAAGGAGATATCAATGACAATGACTCTGGCCGCATGAGTCATCATCCCTCCAGGTGCCACTGTCTCACACAGGATTACTAGATCTGAATATTGACCACCCCCCTTAGACCCTTCCCCCTTGAACCCAGGTCCAATCTGTATGTTTTTGGAGATGGACTAACAGGTGGTATGTCAGGGGATGTGGCCAGCCTAGCCCACCCCCCAAGCCCCCCTTATAAAAAGAGATGCACCCCGCCATCTCTCTCTCTCCTGATCAGTTTGGTGTAGTGGATAAGTGCGCAGACTCTAATCTGGGAGAACCGGGTTTGATTCCCCACTCCTCCACTTGCACCTGGCTGGATGACCTTGGGCAAGTCGTAGTTCTGACAAGAGCTGTCTTTGAAAAAGAGCAGTTTCTGTCAGAGCTCTCTCAGCCCTGCCTACCTCACAGGGTGTCTGTTGTGGGGAGGTGAAGGGAAAGGAGTTTGTAAGCCGCTCTGAGACACCTTTGGGTAGTGAAGGGCGGGGTATAAATCCAATCTCTTCTTCTCTTCTTCTAAACCCATCCTAACTCCACAACTCTCGGTTAGCGCTACCAGAGTCTCCACGTGTCTCTGCTGGTTCAGAACACAATCCTAATACCCCATAGTATCCCTTATTTTTCCTAAGGATCGCTTCATCCCACCGAGGACAGGTAAAGTATTACCCCTCAACGATCATCCTGCTAATGCGAATGTCCTACCCCTCTTCTCTCTCTATTTTCCTAGAACTATATAACTGTGAGTGTGGTTCAATTATTGTATGTGTGTGAATTATTATCAGTAAACAAAACCATTTTATACTGAAGCCAGCCTTGAGTCTATTTCTGGTGCGTCTGGAAGAAGTGGGACCCCTGTATACATAGGTGATTGCTCCCTTTTTGGCCCATTGCCTGTCTTAAATACCATAATTCCCCTAAGATCAATACGAATTTGAGGCAACCCGGCTAACAGGGAGGGCATCCATGAAGATCTCCAGGCCTGCAGCATCCAGGCTGAAAAGCGCAGAGAAAAATATGCACCCGGCATATTGGGAGCTTTCACGCCCACAGAAAATCTTTTAAAGACTAGGGAAGGGGTCTGTGTGAAAGGGAAGTTTCTCTGAAAAAAACCTGATCTGATGTCCTGGTCAGCAAATTCCCACCCAATAGCTCTCTGGGGACCTGGAGGGAGGTAAGCTCACCTCCAACATCCTTGGAAAGTCCCCCTGAGAACCCAGCAGCCTTCAAGTTTGCGCAGTGGGAATCCACAGTTGAAAACTCCACACTACCACCACCAGCATCATGAGGACTGAGGAAGGCTCCAAAGCCTCAGATCTTCCTGACCTGTCAGGAGCTGTGTTCATGGTGTCTGTCATTCAAATCCAAAGTCTCAGGCAGGAAGGGCTTGTCCTTGGGATGGTCTTTCTTTTTTGCAGGCCCAGATCCTTGGATCTTTTAAGAAAACTCCACCTCCACAGTCAGCTTTGAAGCCTCTTGAAAGAGTTTCCCCAGAATGGGAAGATCAGTAAGATTCCTGAACTTATTAGGTGTTTTGTTAAACACAGAAGCACAGCTAGGCTTGAGCATCCTGCTGAAGCAGCAGGGCTATTCAAACTGGAAGGGCAGCCTCTCTCTGTCCCAGGAGAGTCATACAAAATTTGCACAGCCCTGCCTGGAGTGAGAGGTGTGACCTAACCAGTTTGGATGACTTCCTCCACTAAAGGAGAACTCTTTGGTATTCCACAGGACAAATTCCACCCAATTGATACTGCTCCACTGGTGAAAACTCTTTACGTTTAGAGAAAATTCAGGACCGACAACATGCAATGAATTTATGAATTTCACTGCCCCAAGACATAGCCATGATCATCAGCTTATATAGCTTTACAAATATCAGACAAATTTAGGAACAGAGATCCGACAACATCTCACATCCCTGATAGCTAAATGACACCTCTGTGTACAGAGGCAACATGCTTCTGAATACAAGATACTGATGACAAAACAGGGAAGACTCCTGCTTCTAAGTTTCCAGAAAGTATCCACTGATCGTTGTTGGTACGAACTAGGTTGGTACAAACTAGGTAGACCAGTACGCAAGTCAAATCAACCTCATCTTATAAAACTGCAGTTTGATCAACAAGTGCGTGGCAGTTTAGCAGAGATTGTACCCAGATTGTACCCAGTTTAGCAGAGATTGTACTTCTAACAATGCCTCATTTCCCAGCAGACCTCCATTTCTAACAACTCAATAAGCAGCAAGCACAACATGGCAGGCTGACTGCCAGAAGCTGTTTAATAATCCCAGGAAACTCATCCAGTCTCCACGAACTAGGAAATCCAGACAAAGCAGAAAGGAAGGAAGGAAGGAAGGAAGGAAGGAAGGGAAAAGAGCATCATTAGAAATCTTGGATTCAGGAATGAACTAACCATTTATGTGGTGAAAGGAAGAAAGGAAGGAAGGAAGGAAGGAAGGAAGGAAGGAAGGAAGGAAGGAAGGAAGGAAGATTATCTTCACAGAGATACAATAACTACACATTCCCTTTCTCAGAAAATGAAAAAGGCTAATCAGATTGACATCAGTAGACCAAGTATTCGATTTAGAAAACCCAGGAGCAAGAAAGGCTATAATGCAACATCACAACCTTCTTAACAAAGGGAATTGGTAGGCTGTGTAGTGTCTGGGAGCCCTCTGCCAAAAAGCAGAATTATTTATGGCATTCTGGTGGGAAAGAAAGCTTCCTTGTAAGGAGGCCCCTGAGGCCTGACAATTTGCATTCAATAAGTTATTCCCTAGAAGCCCTACATGAATCTGCTGTTGCAGATCATGTGGGGAGACAAGAGAATGCAGACGAGTTCTAGAAGTCCAACTCTGAGATAGACATAAAGAGAACAGTTTAGGCAGCAGAGTCAGAAGTGGTGTGAGTGTTTTTTTCTGATTAAACAGGTTTGGCCATTTTTGAAGTACTGTTCATTTATTTATAAAAAAATTTAAGCCACCATTCCACGAACCTGCCCAAGGCTACTTACAATGATGATAAAAACAAAACATTAAAAGATACTAATTCAAATACAGCATAATAGCCCAGCATAAAAACACAGACCACAAAACCAGATGACTGACCAATTTAAACAACAGTTTCCAGACTGATGAATTTGCTGGCAGCTGGATTCCCAACCCAGGTATGCTTTGCCCTCCGACCAAACGAGCTCCATGGTATACCCTGGAGCTATGGCGGATGAAATGGGAGCCAAGACGACGAGAGAGAGGGTGGCGGCAGGCTCGTGACGAAGCCACAAGAGCATCTTATAGGTCATTTCTAAGAACCTATATGATGGCAGTGAAAGTCACAAAGAGAAATTTCTATGCAACCTCCATTGCGTTAGCAAGTTCTCACCTGGCCCAATTATTTAGAATTGTTCAGTCACTGACTACTTTGCCTCAGGGCATACCACATGCTAGGGAACTGGCTATTGGCTGTGAGGCATCTGTGAGCCATTTTGAAGACAAAGTCGCTCCGCCATAACCTTCCAACCACAATTGATACAATAAGAGAACTGGAAGCCCATTGGCTGTCTTCAAGTCCAGTTTTGGACCATTTTAGTCTGCTCTCCCGGGATGAAGTTGACAAGATCTTGGCAGCTGTGAAGCCTACCATGTGCCTCCTAGATCACTGCCTACCGTGACTGGTTAAAGCCTGTGGTGATGAGGAGCGGACCCCCCTGAGGAACTTGTCCCTTTCAACAGGGACCTTCCTAGGGGGGTTGAAGGAGGTGGTGGTTCACCCTATCCTTAAAAGATCTTTTTTGGACTCTATGGTCCTTAATAACTACCACCCAGTGTCTAACGTACCATTCCTGGGTAAGGTGGTAGAGAAGGCAGTGGCAACACAACTTCAGGTTTTCTTGGATGAGGCTAAAGTCCTGGACCCCTTCCAGTCCGGCTTTTGCCTGGCCCGTCAGACAGAGACGGTACTGGTCACCCTCGTGTATGATCTCTGGAGACATCTGGATCGAGGGGGATTGGCGCTGCTGATTCTTCGTGATCTGTCAGCAGCGTTCAACATAGTTGACCATGTCGCTGGGATACGGGGGCTTGCCTTGCAGTGGCTGACCTCCTTTCTCAAGGTTGCGGAGAGAGAGTGATGCTTGGGGGGGGGGGAGTTATCCCAGCAGCACCCACTGGAATGCAGTGTGCTGCACAGAGCAATTCTCTCCCCCATGTTGTTTTATATCTATATGAACCCTCTTGCCCAAATTATCTGGAAATATGGGCTGTGTATGTGGACGACATCCAGCTCTATCTACTCATGGACAGCCACCCGGACACGGCCCCGGGGTATTCTTTCGGGTATGTTGTAGAGCTATCCTTAGGCTATGCTCCTGTAGAGTGCAGGGGGTTGGACTAGATGACCTGCAAGATCCCTTCCAACTCCAACATTCTATGATTCTATTATTCAGATCTAGATGAGGCGCTACAAGCTGTGGCTGGATAGTTGCGACAGAGCTGACTGAAGTTAAATCCATCCAAGACAGTGGTTCTGCACCTGAGTCGCAGGGGATTGGGTCGGGGGATCAGGCTCCCAGCCTTCGATGGGGCTCCATTGGTGCCAATGTTAAGGGTGAAGAGTCTGGGGGTGTTCCTGGATGCCTCCCTTTCTATGGAGGCCCAGGTCACCACCACTGCCAGGTCTGCCTTTTTCCATCTGAGGCAGATCAGGCAGTTTGTCCCATATCTCCCCCCCCTCCCCCCCCCGGACCTGGCTACAGTAACCCATGCAATGGTCACTTCCAGACTGGAGTACTGTGACTCTCTCTAGCACAATTTTATGGTCATAGTCTATTCCAATGATCTTACAAGATCTATCTACTTCACCTCAGGTAAGTATTTTCCACCAAACCTTTATATTCGTCTTCCACTCAGATACAAATGCAATACCTTTATTGGCATAAGATATCAAATACAACATGCAGCATAGGGCCTCAAGATAAGCCGGGGGGGGGGATCACATTCCGAATTGCCTTAATATGAGCCTCTTCTCCTAGATACCTTATAAAAGAGATTTGCTACAGGTTCAAGAATTTCTATATTATGCAAAGACAATAAAGAAATAATTTTATACTCATAAGATTGGCCCAAAAGGGGGTCCAACACAGGTTCAATATAAGCAACCCGGATGTCATAGTGGAATTTACAGTACAAAAGCACATGTCCAATAGATTCAATTTTCCCCATCCCACCTGGGCACAATCTATCTTTATAGGGAATTTTCTTGATCTGTTGAGGGAAGGACGTCAAACCAAGCTAGCATTCCCTTCCCCTCCCCACAACAGACACCCTGTGAGGTGGGTGGGGCTGAGAGAACTCTGACACAAACTGCTCTTTTTCAAGGATAGCTGTGCCAGAGCTTGTGACTGACCCAAGGTCACATCAGCAGGTGCAAGTGGAGGAGTGGGGAATCAAACCCGGTTCTCCCAGATTAGAGTCCGCACACTTAACCACTACACCAAACTGGCTCTACGAAGATGGGGCTGAATCAGTCTTGCCAGGTATCCTGAGGAAATGTGGCTGAAAGAGAGTCCCATACTCAAGGCAGAGCAATGTCTGTGTGCAAGTCTTCTCAGATCTTGCACCTCTACATTGAGGAGTCTTTGTTTGAGTAAGGCAAAAGCCTTCTGCTCAGACAAAAGTACCAAATCATCAAAACTAAAGCCAATTATAGAATTGTTTTCCTCTATATTAATCAGCCAAGTCAATAGATGGGATTCTGTTAACATGTGTACCACGAGACTGTTTGGGGCGTCTTCCACTCAACACAGTAGGATAGAACTATTTTGTTTTACCTCATCTTCTTTGCGAATGTTGCATTGTATTGGGGTCACTGTGGCAGAATCAGTGGATGGATTTTGGGCAGCTAGCTCTTTTGCTGCAGTTGTTAATCTGTCCAGTTTGCGAGAGGCAATGACTACATTGCAACCTGTCAAAACAAAAACGCGCTTTAGATTACTAAGTACTGATAATAATGACTGCATTAGACTTTTCATATGATCAAAGAGATCTCTTGCTCAACAAGTGGCAGTGTATGCTGATTAAGATAATAGTCCCTTTTTCACAGAAACTCAATACGGATTACACAGTGAGTCAGCACAATAAAAAAAAAATGGCACATTCAGTAAATAATGTCTGGAACCAACCAGAAGGGACTGAAGCACACCATAAGTGTTAATATTACACATTAAGCAGTACAAAGATTACATAATAGATCCTGCTTCTCAAGTCAATGGTGGAATTCAGTGAAAAAGACCCAAATTTGATGCTGTGATAACAGGCACACTAGACCTGTGTGAAATCCAGCAACACCTGCATGATTTCCCAGTCGTCTCTGTCTTCAAGGACTAGGCAATCTGTTAAAACCCTATATAAACTCCAAAGATACCACTATTTTGCTTGGTTTACTGAGAAGTGCCCATAAGGAGCTATGCTAATCATTTAAAATTTATACTAGGAAATTCATACCAAAAACTGCACAACAGAAACAACACAGCACCTGTCAGTTGTGTCTGCTGTCTCTGTTTGCACATATACTGTATATTAATCAAAATGGGCTGCTTTACAGTACACAGCATTAAGAGACAAACAAGCCACCTACACTTGGTTCAGGACTTCACACATCTTTCATTCCAAAGGGCACACAGAATTTTCAGCAAACCTGCTAATATTAATACCCAAGAAACAAGGACTCTAGCTCCCTGATGTAACCAACAAACACTGGTGAAGTTAATATACTCATCTCAGATGCAAGCCGCCAAATGCTTTACTTGTTGTTCACAATTCAGTTATCCATCTACTTGAGCACAGCTTTAAAGTATCAAAGTTCATAATCTGCTCTCCTGCTCTGCTGGAACTGGAACAATTAATAAGAGACACTAATCCTCTAACAGACTAACCACAAAGTCAGTGAAAAAAAGCAAAAATTTGTAAGGTTGAGTTTACTGGGAAACACTAGATTCAGTAGAGCTGCAGTATACTGCTTTGTTGCATGAGGAGTGGCTATACAAAGGCAAGGGACAGATTAAGGTAACTGGAGTTACCTGGCTTCGCCGTCTCATCACTGGTATCAGTGAAAGCACCAGTGCAAAAAGAGCATTTGTATGCATGTGGCTTGAGTGTCCTTTGACATTACTACATGGCTAATAATAATGGAAGTCCAGGATTAAAACCATAAGAATGCAATTGTTTGTGGTTGTTCAGTTGCACAGTCGAGTCCGACTCTTTGTGACCCCATGGACCAGATCACGCCAGGCCTTCCTGTCTTCTGCCGTCCTCTGAAGTTGGCTCAATTTCATGTTTGTTGCATCTATGACACTGTCTAACTATCTCATCCTTTGCCGTCCCCGTCTTCTTTGACCTTCAATCTTTCCCAGCATCAGGGTCTTCTCCAGGGAGTGCTCCCTTCTCATTTGGTGGCTAAAGTATTTGAGCTTCAGTTCCATTATCTGGCCTTCCAGGGAACAGTCAGGGTTGATTTCTTTTAGGACTGACTGATTTGATCTTCTTGCAGTCCAAGGGACTCTTCAAGAGTCTTCTCCAGCACCATAGTTCAAAAAAATCTATTCTTCGGCGCTCGGCCTTCCTTATAGTCCAACTCTCACAGCCATACATGACTACTGGGAATGCCATTGCTTTGACCATGCGGACTTTTGTTGGCAGGGTGATGTCTCTGCTTTTTATCATGCTGTTTAGGTTCGCCATTGCTTTCCTCCCAAGGAGCAGGCGTCTTTTAATTTCATGGCTGCTGTCACAGTCTGTGGTGATCTGGGATCCCAGGAACGTGAAGTCTGTCACTACTTCCACGACTTCCCCTTCTATTTGCCAAGGAGTGATGGGGCCGGATGCCATGATCTTAGTTTTCGTGATGTTGAGCTTCAAGCCCAGTTTTGCGCTCTCCTCTTTTACCCTGAGCAAGAGGCTCTTTAGGTCCTCTTCACTTTCTGCCATTAGAGTGGTATCGTCTACATATCTGAGGTTGTTGACCTTTCCCCAGCAATCTTAATTCCCGCTTGTGATTCAGAAGTCAAGATTTGCCTATTCTTGTGCATTACATAATGGGGGTAAAGAGACAGGATCCAAAATGCAGCACTCCAAACAGGGTAAGTAAGCAGGTTTCCTTGCATTTTCTTAGGATGGGGAAGCAGAAGCCTTCACTGTCCCGCGGCCCGCCCCCACATTTCACACAGATGGGTGTGTGAGCTCCACCCACCTAGTTTGCAACACACACTTATCCAAACCACATGCCCATCTTTGAAGACACTTTTACAGAACCCCATTCCTTCCCCTTCTTGGCCCCCAAACCGTTCTTAAAGGAATTCTGCTTGCCATACCTACAGTGCCCACGTATCCTTTCCCTTCGAACTCAGCTCTCTTTTTATGGAGTGTTTATCCCAATCTGTGTCTATCTTATGCCTGCATGGCGCTGACGTTCAGGCTGACAGAGCCCGGACCCCTGCGCCTGACAGGTGCCCTCAGGGCAAGCCGCCCCCCCCCCCCCGATGCTGCCACCATCACCAGGGTTCCCTCTCAGCTGAGTCCGTGCGAGCCGGCTCGCGGTTTTGTAGCCTCCGGCTCACGCCTTTCCGTCCCAGCTCAGGAAGGAGGGGCTCCAGAGCGAACTCACTGACTGAGGCGGCCGCCCCATCGCCCGCTCACCGCCGCTTGAACGGCAGCCAGGAGCTCACCGAGCGGCATTTCTGCTCACGAGACCCCAGAGCTCCGGGGGTGCATTGAGCAATGGGGCACTCCCGTCGCCCGGCCGTTGTCAGGAACCATCATGAAGGGGCTTCGCCGGAGGAGGCCTCCTCCTCCTCCTCCTCCTCTCCAGCCCCCC